TTTTTTTTTCTGTAATCTGGAGAAGAGGGATTTAATTCTCCCTTGGAGGGCTTAGTGATACTTCTTGATGTTTGTCTATAGCGTCTCTAAAGTCAGTCCAAGGGCAGAACATGAACACAAGCATACCTAATTGTTTACAAATCCTCCTGTTCACTTTTTAAATGCAGTTTTTATTTTGCTTGCTGTTTTGGAAGTGCACTAAAACTCATCTTGCAGTGTTACGCACACTGTCCCGTTCAGCGAGGACTGTTTGTTGCTTCTATTTTTACTATGCAGCAGTGGGAAAATATTTGAGTTACCTGTGCTGAAAACAGTCATTTGATCCTGCATATTGGCGAGTCATTGGTGTCCAAATACATGTAGCAAACTCTTGGGTCCATCCGTCCCTGGGGAGCTAGTGAATGACAGCTCACTGCTGAAAGGGCTGGACTTGAGCAAGTGCCAGGTGCTCCTTTCTGGGATATTGTTTTTCCAAGGACTGGGGGTCTGATTGAGAGGTATGTACTGGAGGTGAGGGGAGAAACTCTCGTATTCAGAATCTTGCTTCTTGCTAAAGAGGTTTTGGCCGCACCTAAGATTACTAGAATTGAAAGAGGTTAGAAGAAAAATGTCTCTCTGCTTTATTTGTTTGTTTACCCTAGTCTATTTGACAGCACCTCAGACACTGCTGGTTCCTTCAGCAGAATCAAGTTTCTCTGAGTGCTGGTGCGAGCCCTTTCACACAGCAGTCGGGGGTGAAAACCATGCTCAAGCACAAGGTGTGTGAATATGAAAGTTTGGCCACTGACAGAGCCTGTAAATATTCTCCGTTCTTTGAAAAGTGCTAAATGTCAGGCTGCTGATGGCTCTGTCGTAATCCCTGTCTTCTTGGACACACACAAGGTAGCATCTAGCATGCCTTACTCCAAATGCTCTTCATGCATATTTCATTTTTCCTGAAAATGTTCTCTGAGAGACAATTCTTGTGTGGACTGTGTAAATAATATGGTGCACCTGTGCTTTTGCCTTTTTATGCACATTTCTCTGAATCAAATATTCTAGTCTGATTTCAGTAGTAAAAGCAGTCTATTAAAATACTATGGATTCTTTAAGTTAGAGGTTGCAATTCATGTTATTCTTAGTGGAGCATGCCATTTGGCTACCTTACTTCCCTTTTCCTAGAAACATGATGAAGTGTTCTTTTGATATGTGTACATGCATTAGGCTGCCCACCAAAGCACAGTGTAAGTCTGTGTTTTGAGTGAAAGTCCCTGAACTCTCCCCATGACTGAGCAAATTCAAGCACTGTAAGTTCATGCTCTTGCTAGAGGCAGGATTGTAAAAGTCAAACTGCTCATTCATTGCTGGCAGCTATGTGCAAGTTATTAGCTATCAACAGACTGGAATTTTTCATGCCTAATCTCACAGTTGTTTCCTCCACTTTAGTAAATTTGATCACCCCCACATTCTGAAATTGCTCGGCGTGTGTCTACTAAATGAACCTCAGTACCTCATACTGGAGCTGATGGAAGGAGGGGATCTACTTAGCTATTTACGAGGAGCCAGGAAGCAAAAGGTGGGACAGAACCCCAATTGATATGTTTTTTAACCTGTAGCTGCCCATTGTTTCTCAGTTTTCCTTCTCAAAGACCATGTTGATGTCTGTATATGTTCCTGTGCCTGCAGTTTCTGACCTTCTTTTCTCTAATGCCGTGAGACCTCAGTATTCAAGTGAAGAATTTGAATTCAGAGTATGTGAAATGGATTGAACATCAGCAGGCCACTGACAATTTTTTCTTTTTTTTTCCCCAGTCATGAGATGCCTGTTGAGTTGCCTTCTATGCACACCATGGACAGTATTTGAAAAGTGACCATAAGTAATGGTGGTCATGTATTTGGTCTATTAGACCTCATCCATGTATTTTTTTTTCAACAGCAGAAATATCTGCAATGTGATAGGCAGAGTCCAAGTATAGAAGAGCACACTGTCCCTATCTGTATCTCCAAAGGCTTCAGAAGAAGGAGTAAAAGAGAAAAGGATAAAACTCTTCATAATCAGCCTACATATTAGGGATATTGTTGACAGCACTGCAGGCCAAAAGGACACAACACAGAAATTTTATAGCATTATAGCAGTAGCCTGGTTCATTTGCATGATCAGATCAAGTCCCACTCAGTATAAAATTCATCGATATGCACTATACGCTGTTTCGCTGATAACTGCAGCACTGAGCAAACCTGACCTAATAAGGGGATAAAATTTTCAGTATCCCATTTCTTTCTAATACAGCAAAGAGGCAATTCTGAAGGTCCTAGGATATTCTTAACCCCACACCAAAGAACAGGGTGTGCTCTCCTGCCCAGCAGGGCAGTGGTTTGGTGGTTTCCCTGATGGTGTCTGCTTTTGTGACATACAGAGATTTTGCACCTCCTTGTATTTTGCTTGTTTTGAAACAGTCATATGAGTTTCAAATGAGAAAGCAATACCATATTGGTATAGTGAGGCTGTCTCTCTGAGTCTGTAAAGCTGGAAGACATGACTAATTCTGTCTCCCTTTCTTGTAGCTCCAGAGTCCCTTACTGACATTGACTGATCTCTTGGATATATGTTTGGATATTTGCAAAGGCTGTGTCTATTTAGAGAAAATGCACTTCATACACAGGTATAAAACTTATTTCTTTAGTCTTACTATGGTTACTCATAGTATCAGGAGTAATTATAGGAGAAAATTTCCTGGGGAAGATGTCATGATATAATGGGAAAGGGAAAGCCTTGGAGTGCTATTTAGTTTTGTGCTAGTTTGCTAGAATCACCTTCAGTGCTCTCACAAAGTGGTGGGCTACTCAGAGCATTGAACTTAGGCACCGGGATATGGTCTTCATATGCCTAATGGGTGGCTATAGGAGACACAGAGCCAGACCCTTCCCAGAGGGGCACAGGGAAAAGACAAGAGGTGATGGGCACACATAGCAGCTAGGGAAATTAGGAAATAGGCATCACAATGATCAGGATCCCTCGTGGGAAGAGGTTGACTGGAGAGGCTGTGGAGTCCTCATCCCTGCTGATATTCAAAACAACTGGATGAGGCCCTGCACCACCTGGCCTAACTTCTTGTCTGGCACTGCTTTGAATGGGAGGTTGAACCAGATGGTCTCCAGAGGATCCCTTTGGCATGAGTCACTCTGCGATGCTAACCCTGTCCTCTTGTTTCTGCTTTACAAATCAGGGACCTGGCTGCTCGCAACTGCCTTGTATCTGTGAAGGAATATGAAGGCTGCTCCCGTGTGGTAAAGATTGGTGATTTTGGACTTGCCAGAGATATCTATAAAAATGATTATTACAGGAAGAGAGGAGAAGGACTACTTCCTGTGAGATGGATGGCCCCTGAAAGCCTCATTGATGGTGTCTTTACTAATCGCTCTGATGTCTGGTGAGTTCTAGCAGCACACAATCATGCAAATAATAATGCCAAGTCCCACAGAGAAAAAGAATGGTTTACAAGAGTAATGACAGAATTGTACAAAGCCCTCTATCATCATTTCAGGCTAAGACAAATATCTTTCTAATTAATATTGTCATGAGCTAATGGAAAGTTTGGCACTATGACAGTACCTGCATGTATATACTTCTTAATGCTTTGTGTTCTAACTTTGGATTCTGGCTGGAAAGAACTGGTGTCATTCAAGTAAACAACATTACACTAAGACCACAGG